TGGGGAAATGAGACAAATCTCCCATGCAGAAGAACTCCAAATAATTTATGTAGATAACTCCACCTTTAGGCAAGAAGAGCATAATGTTTAAGTGTAGGCTGTGCATAGTGAGCTCTTTCCAATGAGCACAGTACGGAAAGGAAAAGAGAAAAAGTAACTTCACAGTAGAGAAATCTGGCAAACACTGTCTCAGTTCAGTGATCAAGGTCAATATCAACAACCATAAACCATGCTCTGTAAGCCTTGATAGGACTGATAAAAAGGGCACTTTAACTCTGTGCTCTTCCTTCCCCCAAACCATCATCTAAGTCTAATTGTAAGAAAAATATCAGACAAATGCCAACTGAGAGACATTCCACAAAATCATTCCTCAAAATTGTTAAGGCCATCAAAACCAGGGAAAATTCCAGACAGGAAGAGTATAAGGAAACATCGCTACTAAAGGTAACTTCGTATCTGGGGTGGGATCCTGGAACACCAAAAGGGTATTGTCTAAGAGCTGAGGAAATCTGAATCGAGCACAGACTAGTTAAAAAATAAGTTATCAATCCTGGTTCATTAATTGTAGCAAATGCACCACACTAATAGAAGATGCTAATATATTCAGAGAAACTGTGTTTACTGTATATGGAAACTCTCTGTCCTATCTTTGAAGTTTTTCTGGAAATATAAAACTGTTCTAAAATAAAAGTTTATTAGAAATACAATTGAAATTAAAAAAAAAAACAAAAACACTTCAGAGGTCAGCCTCTTCTCTATGGTGAACAGCTATTTACAAAGGCTCATTCCTGGAGTACCAATGTTAAATTCTATCCCCCACTGGGTATGAGTGTTTGAGGAGAGCTGGGTGAGGTGGTGCACATCTGTAATTCTGGCAACTCGGCAGCTGAGGCAGGTGGATCACGAGTTCCAGGCCAGCCTGGGCAACTGAGTGAGACCCTGTCTCAAAATAAAAAATAGAAAGGGCTGGGAGTGTGGCTCAGTGGTAGAGCGCCCCTGGGTTCAAACTCCAGTAATGCGGAAAACAAAGGTACTTGAGAAGGAAGTGGTTATTGCCTCAGACTAGTTTATATCACAACCTATTTAGACGCTTGTAGGGTGACTTAGACCAGTACGCCAAATCTGGACAAATGTTGCCTCAGTGTCAATGAGGACAATGAAATCTACCATCTTCCTGGATTCTGCTGTGCTACCGAAACTGAAAGCTGGGGAAGTTATACAAAAGTCCAAAGTAGAAGTTCAAGTTCCTCCCTGACACACTAGGTAACAACACAGGATTGAATGCTTGGTCAGCAGTTCTGCCTTGTGTAGGGAACACACAGCTTTTCTTCAATTATAATTCCCTTCCTTTAAATCGTAAGTCATTTCTCCCCAAGCTCTGAAATTTTTTCTCTCATTTTTTGATTTATCAGAGAAACTAAGAACCAGCAAGGAGGGGCTGGGGTTGTGGCTCACTGGTAGAGCGCTGGCCTAGCATGTGTGAGGTACTGGGTTCCATCCTCAGCACCACATATAAATAAATAAAATAAAGATATGGTGTTCAACTACAACTAAAAATTAAAAAACTAAAAATTAAAAAAAAAAAAACAGCAAGGAGTCTACAAACACAGGACAGAACCAAGAAAAGCTCTCTGTTCTTGTAAAGCCTAAAGAGCAGGGTTGGCTATAGAGGGGAATGGAGAGTGGTGGAGGAAGGGGCAACAGGGGAGTCCCAATGATGGGAAGAAATACATGACTGAAAGAATCTGGAATGATTCATTAAATCTGGATCATTAAATGATTCAGAATCCCTTGGAGAAAACTCCAGGGAGGAAGTGCCAGGAAGCTTCTCAGCCCACCCAGTCCAGAGCGTTTCTTTAGCTCTCAGATGACTGGCACCCTGTCCATCTGCCTGGATTCTCATGTTTGAATATGAGCACCATAAATCAGGAAGGTGATCATGAGAGAGAGAGAGGAGAGAGAGATCTGGAAATGAACCACACAAGAAGCTTCCTATCTCTGAAAGCATTTCAATTTAGAAACTTGGCAAAAGTACGGAAAGACCTCAAAGGTCAGATGGAGGTAAGATGACAAAAAAAGAAAAAAATAACTAAAAGTCCCTTCCAGCCTGATGGTGCTGTAAGCCCAGGTGTGACAGAGGACCTGGAGATAAGAAAAGCCATGGAAAGAGCAGACAGGACAAGGATGAGAGCTTTCCCTACAATTCAGAGGCTGACACACGGAGGAGAGGGCTCTAGTCTTCTCCTGTCACAGTTCTGTCCCTTGGAAAGTCACAGCTTCTCTCCTGTCTCACTAGGCAACACACAAGGTGCCACCAGGCCCTAGAAACTGATTCCATTTTATCTTGTTCCCCCAAGCTTCCTTCAGAGACAAGGAGACACGATTCTCCAGAATTTCAACAAACAAACACGTCTTTCAGGAAATAAAAGACCAATGCTTACCCTTCAGAGGAAGGGAATTTTAAGAAGACCAGAGGATTAGACAGCAGAAAGGAATGAGGTATGACCCAAACTGCGGTCGGGTGAAAACATGATGCTGGTGAAGGAAGCCCATCACCAAAGAACACACACCATGGGATCTCATGCATGTAAAAGCCCAAAGCAGGGAAATACACAGAGACAAAGACCTTCAGGCCTGGAGAGGAGGGGAGAATGGGTGGGAGGAAAGAAACCAGAGTACAGAGTTTCTTTTTGAGGTGATGAGAATTCTCTACACTTGACTAAAATTGACCATCTTATGTGATGGTGTCTTCACACCTCTGTGAAGACACTTAAAACCACCAAAGTGTACATTTTAAATGGGTGAACTGCCTGGCATGTGAAAATAACCCAATAAAGCTGTTTTTAAAGTAAGGTGACCATGTGGAAAGATGGTCCAGATGACTCCTGAGCCTACAGCACCCTGGCAAGAGGCATGGCTTTTCCACTATGACCCGCTCCCATGAGTCCTTGTCCTACGGACCTCAAGTTTCCCCAGGGACTTCAGGGGGCCAACTCTCATTGCAGCACCTGGCTGGGTCTTACCACAGATGGTGCTGACAGCAAGAGGGTCTGACAGCTCTAACCATTACAGAGGTCTCTGACCTCTGGGCTCCCCATCTGAACTGGAACACCCCCCTTTCAGACCCTTTAGCTATGCCCACTGGAGACACACACACACACACACACACACACACACACACACACACACACGACACTGATGAGAGAGAGCAGTTTGCTTGGTCTCCTGTGCTGAAAGCCTCTCCTGATTTGCTGTTTCCTGTACACAGCAGCCCAGGACCTGTTTCCAGCCATTTCCTCAGAGGCTTGTCTCCTCCCACATCACCCACCTGTCCCAGCCACTCTGGTCCTCTCCCTATTTCTTAAACACATGTGGACCCCTTGCCTGGTCCATTCTCCCTCACAGGGTACCCTCCCTTTCTTTGTCCATGTGTGGGCTTCAATTTCCCTTTCTCCATGAGGGGAGACCTGCTGTCTCCATTCAAAATTCTAACCCATCCTCCTTACCTCTCGATCCTGTTTTCCCATAGTATAGATCATACCAAGTACTTGCCTTTCCTGCTCAGCAAACTCCCTGGGGAGCATGGCTTTTGTCTTCTTTGTTTCCTCAATGGACACCTGACTCCTAGAATACTGCCAGAAAACAGTAAGCATTCCAATGAATGAACTCCCTCTCTAGAACTCTGCTTTAGCTTTCAAATGGAACACCTGGACCACCAGTCTATTATTATCACAGGCTCCTTACTCAAAATACATCTTCTTCTAACCTCCAGAGCCCAGCCAAGGAGCCATCTTCCCACCCCCTAAAACGATGAGCCTGTATCACCAAAGCTAACAGAACTTTCACCCTTGGCCTTTCCTACCCTATCCCTGCTTCCAAAGCACCATGACGAGGCTAGACCTTGGCAGATCTGGAGAGAGCTGGCTCTTCATCCTAGCACCTGCTCACATCCTCCAAGAACAGTGCCTTCCACTGTTTTTTGTTTATTTTTTATTTCATTCTGTTTTCACATCTTGTCTCTACTAAAACATCCTAAGACAGGCTGGGAAAATAAATGTAGACTTGTTTGCAAACATGGTAACTCTATCTCGTCTCATCTAGTAATTCCCTGTTTACTTTTTGTTTTCACCATAATACCATAAACTCGTGGAGAAGAGAAATTGGGCTGCCCTGGTCACCAGTGAGAACACAGTAGGTGTATGATATCCACTTGAGTACATAGTAAGAGCTCATGAGTTGTCTCTGATCATTATCAGTATCATGTGGCTTGTCCTGGGTCTCAGTGAGTGACTGCCAACTGTGGTAAGTGACTTACCAGAAAGGAGCCCCAGACCAGACAGAAAAAGTCTTCTGGCTCTTTCTAATGGGAAGATTTACTCAGCTCCCCCTACTACCCAAAGTTCTGCAAAAGACACAGGAAAAGTAGTTCAAGAAATTGTGTTCCCAGATTCCTAACAAAATTCCAAGGTACAAAACGCAAAACCTGGGATGGATGGAGAGGAAGGGAGCTTGGGAAGCTGGTTCCAGGACCACCTCTGATCTCCCAGCATCGCTTAGGACTGTGTGAGCGCCCCCTATCGGTAGGATGAGACCCTAAGAGAAGCTTTCCGCCGGTGTAGACAACTCAGTCCTCCACCTTTCTTTCACTAAGTCTCTAAGTTCACAGAGTTGGTGGGACTGAAGGAAATGACCCTCAGAAGCTCCAAGAGGCTGAACTGGAGGAAGAAAAGGAGACTTAAAGCCCAGAGTCGCTAGAGTCTGGCAGGAGTTGAAGAGAATCGCTCAACAGTCTGGGAATAGGAACATGGGAAAGTTGAGGTGGAAAGTTTGCAACTAGGAACAGAGAGAAAACCAGAAACCACACAAGTTCCCAGCAAACAGAAGCGAGAGAGGGAGAACGCCCCGAAGGGCGCGGGTGGGCGCCAGAGGGCGGCACGGGGGACAAGGTGCGCGCGAGTGGGGAGGCTCCGGGGAGCGCCCGCGCGCTGTCACCGACCCACCTGAGGCTGCCATGTCGCGGGGGGGCAGTTCACATCGCCTGCTTAAAGCGTGCCCGGTGCTCGGTACCCGGTGCTTGGAGATGTGTCCGAGCGGTGTCTGTCCCTGGGCGCGGGGCGGGAGTGGCAACCGGCTCCGCGCAGGACCAGCGTCTGCTCTGGCGCTTCCTCCAGACAGGCCG